TTTCTTCAATTGTAGTAACCTTGGGTCTGAACCTCTCGGGCAGTGATCTAAAGACTTTCCTAACAATCTTTGACTCGGGGATCCTCTCACCTAAATTAAAACTCGTATTGACTATGTCATTCAGTTTAGCATAGAATTCATCGAACGATTCACCGTCCTTCATTCTAATCTCTTCAAAATAGTGGTTAACATCCGCAGTTTAGAATTTTTAACCATTTTAGTTCCCTCGTGTGTAGTATCTAAGATATCCCAAACTTCCTTGGCAGTTTCACACATCAAAACTCTCCTAAATGTTTTAGCAGACACATCCATGATTAGAACATGAAGGCCCTTGCTGTTCTAATTACACTCATCTAAGTTCGTTTTAGGCCATAGTGAGATATCAGTGGGTGTGACTACACCAGCAACAGTTGTTGAAGATGGAGCCCACCCATTTTGAATGCTAATCCAAATACGTTCATCCAAAGATTTAAGAGAGGCTCCCATTCGAACTTTCTAGTAGGTATAGTTGCTTCCGTCGAAAAATGGAGGCACATGCAATGACTGATTCATCTAGAATATATTAGAAGGGGTCAGGAATCGATTTAAAGCTATGATACCAATTGAAATTTACGAAGTTTGACCCTAACAATACCTAGAGGGGGTGAATAAGTATATTATGTGGAATTAAAATTATTGATTAATTAGCAACATGTCACCAATTAATTATCTCTAGATGATTAAGCATGCAAGTCTATTTAACCTATATTTAAATAGCGCAATTAATATAATCAATAAAGAAAGCAGTAAAACACACGGTATGATTACAGAGAAACTCCAACTGGGTAAAAGCTCGGGGCACTTTTCCAGTCAACAATCCACTATAAACGATTTATAACTTATAGTCTACCAGATTAGACGACAACACATACTATCTGATCTCCTGACTGCAATTCAATAACTCTCCTAGATTATGTGCTCATATATCACACCCAACTGCAATTTCCAAAGCTCTCTTGCATTGTACTCTCATGAACAACTCCTAACTTTGTGAAATCGTTTATCTTCTGTGAATCCACGAAAAATACCGCATTCTTCAACGACTGGAACTCTAGTTAACTTCTTTCAATTTTCAGCAATTTTGACATATGCGGAGGAAAGAACAGTTTGGTATTTGGATTATGAAAGTGATGTTTTTCTCACCAAAATAATCTTACAAGACGAAGGTTGAAAGAAGGAATATGTAGGAATTCTCTCTGATGAAGCTCTCTCAATGATCAACCTTCTCCCTTCATGTTTAGATGTGTTTTGGTATTTATATGTATGTTAGAAAAGTAATGGGTCGGGGAAAAAGCCTTTAAATCGCAAAATAAATTTTTTTCGGACAACACTATTGCTCAAGCTAGGGCTCAGTGATAGTCGAGCGACAGCTTGTCCCTCGAGCTAAGGCAGGGCGACAGTCGAGCAACGAAGGTTCTATTTTTTATGCTCAAGTCATTCCATGGCGATAGTTTAGCAAAAATTCTCTTCGTATTTCCTTTCTTTTGCCATACTCGAACCATAGATCTAAAAAATCTATTTTCATATAATTACACATTACTCCTTGAATTTTTACAACATTTACAATGAAGTCCCTTTTATTTATAGAATAGCCAATTACATAATTAAAAACCTAACAAAATCAATCACAAATATAATTCATATCATTTTCATAGGCAAGCTTATTGCCATAGAAAACAACTTAATAGATTTACC